TTTGTTTTTTTTTTTTTTTGTTCCTTTAATCTCTAGCTTTCATTCCGTCAAATCTTTCCTTTTTCGCTTGTTGTTGCTGTTTTCCTTTTTTTATTTTACTTCATTTCTTTTCTCTGGCTTTCCTTTCTTATACTTTTTCTTCAGATTTCTTTCTCTTTTTCTTTCTTATTATAGCGATGATCGCCGTGATCTTTATTAATCGAAGGTCTTCACCAAGGGCTGGGGTTGTGCCTGACCCGCTTGTCAGAAAGACCAAGAGTGACGTCGGTCGATCTCACAAACGTCGTCAGTTCGACGAATGGTGTTGCCGCGAGTCGTTGTCCCATCGAATGGGAACAGAATGTGGACTCGCAATCGCAAAGTAACCCGGGGGAGGGAGGGGGGAGGGGGAGAAAGACACGCTCGGTGATGTTTGGACATTGACCGTGCTAGCCTCTCTACGATACACAACCCCGTACCTAATGCGTCTTAGGCCCTACGATCTAGGTGAATGAGAAAGTCGGTACGATTCACCGACGAATTTTTCGTCTGATTGTCACTGATATAATATAACTTGCCGAAGAAGCGAAACCATTCTCCCGTTCCCTCGGAAGTAATCTCGTATCTTCGTTTGTAACGGTACGATACGGCACTTTGTCGGATGGACACTCCAAGGCTTCATGCCACGTACGAAGCGTCCTACAAGTGCGTGAAGTCGAGAAACGTCTAGGTAAGTTTGTAATCCAATGAATCACTGATTGGCCTCAAACCGTGGCGATCACGATGAGCAAGTGGGCAATCTTTGCGACACGGTGTAGCAAATCCGGCGCGATTCGCGCCAGGCTCTCGTTCGCGAAATCGCACGATGGAAAGATGTGAACCACGTACGCAGGCTGTAAAACAAAACATATCGTACACATCAATGTTCCGTCCTCGTACGACGTTGTATACCGCATCTCGCTAACGATTTAATCTTTACTCTTTAATCATCGTACCTGTTGCGATCCTGGTGCAGCGATGTTGACAATTCCAGCGGCCTGTTTCTGTTGTAGATACATGATAAATCCGGTTTGAAGATTCTTGCTCTGTTGCAATACGTCCACTTCGTCCCGGCCGCAAGGAAGCGCGAGAAGCATACAGTGTTCGTTGTCCATCTGGAAAAGGTTACGAATAGGAGAAGAAGAAAAAAAAAACAATTCTACGACGAGATGCGACAATTTGCGTGTGATAGATAAAGCGTACCTGCATCTTCCTCGCCACTCCTTCGACCTGTGTCTGTTCCAATCTCATCCTCTGGGCGATTCTCAACGGTGGGGTGGAGCCGTCGCTGTTGCACGGCAAACTGTCCCTCGCCACGTTCGGATTACCGAACACGAAGTGCATCTGAACCGCTGCTTGGTCGTTCTTCAGGGCCAGCAGCCCCTGCCACATGACCGGGTAACGTTGCAACAACATTTGGAACGAGTCTGCTTGCGGCGGTACTTGCGAGGCGTGAGGCGGGGTGACCACTTGGTGTTTCCTAGGCCTGTCCGGGGTGATGGCCCTGTCGCTCGGCGCCTCGCTGGCGGCGATAGGATACTGGGAGCGTAAATGCGCCGGCGGAGGTTCGTAGAAGCCGCCTCTAGTGGCTGCTGCTGCTTGCGCGCCGGTCAACGATGGATTACTGCCGGCGTTGTACTGCGGAGGCGGTGGCGGCGGCGGCGGCGGCGGTAGCCTCACCGCTCCGTGCATCATGTACACTTGAGCCACTTGAGGGCTGTCGGTGGTACGATCTTGCGGGGTTCTCGCGCTGCGTCTCAGTTCCAACGGTGGACTGTGACTGTCCTCGATGCCTGTCTCCAGTTTCGGGTCTAGCGGCAGATGAGGGGATCGGGTCTCTTGAATGTGATAAGCTATGCGCGGGGCCGTCAGGGCTTCCTGTTGCGCGCGCAGGTACTGGTACTGCAATATTTGTGGATGGTGCATATAGTGCGGAGGCAATTCTCCGCCTCTCGTCAGTCCTCCGTAGTGATTGACAACGTCACCCTGCAAGGATGCACAACAACAACGACACGTTGATTAGCGAAATTGTTTTCCACCGTGGCAAACGAGTGGTCTCGAAACTTTGTCGAAATTAGTCGGAAAAGAAATTGACGTAGATGCACGTCGATGAAAAGAAAAAAACAAAAAGAGAACTGAAACAGAGTTAGCGTACTAAGTACCTGAGAAGCGTTAGCATGATGATGGGCAGGTGGGGGCAATGGAGGACTCTGGGATCGATGCGGGGGAACAAGTCCATATTGGCCCCCTGGCGATGGAGCAGCACCCGCACTCCCATGCTAGTAGCCAAAACCAAGCCAAGTTAGTTGTGTACATCGATATGTATGTATATATATAAAATGTATATTTTAGAAAACGTACGTCTGGAATAGTTACGCGTGACACGACTGCGATTTACAAACGTACGTGTAATAGAATTTTTTTTTTTTTTTTTGCTCGCGCTTACCAATGGTCCTTCGTACGTCGACATCGGTACTCCTCGTGCCTGAGGACTCGCAGTTGGAGCCATGATGCAACCGGACATTGACACTTCTACCTTCGGTGGCTCCATTGGACCCGTCATCTACGGATTGCGATCGAGTTTAGAAATTCGGTCAAGCTGAGTGCACCATCTTGGAAAAGGAAAACAATTGAAAGAAAATTTTTACCAGCGATGGTTTCGGTGCTGGAGGTCTCGAGCAGCTGACGCTGCCAGGCTGAGGGTTCATCAAGTGCGACTGAGTGGGCGGACTGGCCACGACCATCGGCGGCACCACTGCCTGCAGCAAGTGGGCCTTCGGGTTCAAAGGATGCGGCTGCCCGTTGATGGCCTTGAGCGCCGTCGGTTGGGAGGCCACCACAGGCTGATGGATTCTCGGTGTCGGCGGTGCTACCGTCACGCTAACTGGTTGGACGTTCATGGCCAATTTTTGAGGAAGGTTCATTATCGTCGACGTCTGCTGCTTGGCCGCTTGCAGGAGATGTTGCTTGGGATTCGGTGGGGCGCCGGTGTTGTTCAGTACCGGCGACATTGGTTGTCCTTGACCTTTCCCTCCGTTCGCAGCAGCGATCTGCGCCACCGTCTGCTTCGTGCGAGGGCTCAAACTCGGCGACGCTACTCTGTTGCTGGAGACCTGTAGATGCAATGCTTGGACGGCCGGCTGCGTCGGTTTCACGAGATTCGACGGCTGCACCACCAACGGCGATTGGCCGGGCATACTGGCGATCGCCGTCGGCGGTTTGGTAATAACCACTTGCTGCTGCTGCTGCTGCTGTTGCTGTTGCTGAACAACCGGAGTAGCCAGCTTGCTGGCGTTCAAAACGTGAGCCTTGAGGCTCGTGGGTTTCGACGGAGTGGCTGGCGTCGTCTGTGGAATGGCTGCCGTGGCAGCTAAGGAGGCAGTCGTGATGGAAATGGTGGCGGAAGTGACTTGAACCGCCGGAGACTGCGGTTTCGTGATAACGCTAGTCTGCGGTTGAATCTGTTGAGGGTGATGTAATTCTGGAGCTTGTTCCTTCTTCAGTTCCTCGGCAACGGTCAGATTCTCCGGCTGAAGAGGTTTCGATCGAGGCAACGATGCCTCAGTGATGTTGGACGTCGGGGCCGGGGCGTTTCTCGACTCGCAGGTAGCTCTGCTACCGACAATAGCCGCTTGCGTCTGTCCGGAAGTCGAAACCGGAATGTACTGACCTTCTTCCGACTCTCTCATCGGTATAAGCATTCCAGTCACCGGATCGATCAGCGTCATCGGTTCATGAGAAACCGACTTTTGCGTAGATGACGGAGCAGTGGCGACAGACAACTGTTGCTGCTGTTGTTGCTGTTGCTGTTGCTGTTGCTGTTGCGGCTGCTGTTGCTGCTGGCTCGTCTCCTCAGGCTTTGGTACGGTCTCGTCTCGAAGTGGAGCGGCAACGCTCTCTTCCTTGTTGCGCGACTCTTGCTGCTGCTGCTGCTGCTGCTGCTGTTGTTGTTGTTGTTGTTGTTGATGTTGTTGATGCTGCGTTGGTGCTGGTGGCGGTGGCGGTGGCGGTGGTGGTGGTGGAGGCGGTGGCGTCTCCTTGATCTTGGTCAGTTGGTCACGATGGTACTCCTCGTCGTCGTCGTTCTCGGAAGTTCTCCGCATCGCGGATTTACCACGAACGCCTCGCGGTGACTTGCGAGGTTCGGCTAGTTGCACGGTGGTGGTTTGCTGCACGTTGCGAGGAGAGTTGTTGTGTCTGGTGCTTCGTCTGGTGGCATGAACGTGCATCCCTGCCGCGGGTCCACCGATCGCCCCTTTGTTCGACGCGGAGCCACGCACCACGTCCTCGATCACGTCGTCGACCGTGTTTCGAATTCCGTCCCTCTCGGCCAGTCTTCTCGACTTTCTGATATTGGCCGTTGGCGGAGGCACAAACTCCTCCGGCGGCACTTCCTTCACCGCGGCGATGGGCGTCGCCGCGTGCGCGTTCGGCCCGGTCAGGCTGCTCGGCACCGGCGACTTGATCGTGAGTATCAGCCGCGGTCGTCCCGCGTTGTCCTCCTCGCTGTCGTCGTGGAACTCGTACACGTCCGCCGGCAATTTGTTCTTCTCCACGTGAAGCTTGCTTCCACGGGACGTTCTGGCGCCCCGTTTGTGCACCGCGGTGGCAGCGGTGTTTCGGCTGCTCCTTCTGGTGGTCACGCCGCCGCGGCTACTGCCTCCTCGCCTGCTCTTGGTTCGACCTCGGCGACTGCTCTTGGTCGACTCGCTCTCGCACGTTTCCACTCCTTCGTCTTGTTGTTGTTGTAGTTGTTGTTGCTGCTGCTGCTGCTGCTGTTGCTGCTGCTGTTCCTCGCTGCTGGCGGCCAAGTTTTTCTTTGGCTCCGGTTCGCTGGAAACCTCCGCTACCGCGGCCGCTCGCTCGAACCACTGTTCGGGCTGTTCGTTGGTTTTTGCCTGTTTTGTCGACTGCTGCTGCTGTTGTTCCCTTCGTTCCTCGCTTCCTCCTCCTACGCGTTGACTCGAGCGCCGCGCGGTAATCGTCGTCTCCTCTTCGTCAGCGTCGTCGTCGTCGTCGTTGCCCTCGCCGTCGCACAGCGCGTCCACCTTCTTTATCACGCTCTCGATGTTCACCTCCTTCGCCGACCAGTAATCGCTGTCCTCCTTACCGTCGGCCGGATCCTCCTTGTTGATGGACGCCGTGTCGATGGCCAGCGGATCGGTGCTCGGTTCCTTCAACGGATCCTCTGTCGGTTCCTCCTCCAAATCTGCTTCCTCGGTCTCTTTCGCAATTTCCTCCCCTTCCTCCTCCTCCTCCTCTTCCTCTTCCTCCTCCTCCTCCTCCTCTTCCTCCACCTCCTCTTCCTTCAGCTCCGACTTGATCGGAATCTCCACGTCCATCGACCTTTTCGGAACGACGAGACGATCGTCCTCCAGGGAGGAGGGCTCGAACTTTTCAGACTTGACTGGATCGATCGGTTGTTGCTCGATCTTTGGCGGTTTCGAGTCCACCGGGTGATGGTGGTGGTGACGGTGATGGTAGTGATGATAGCGCTGGTGTTCGAACTCGTTGCTCGAGAACTCCAGCTTGATCGCAGTAGTTTGATCGTTCTCGTGCTTCGTGACGTCTGACGGCTCCTCCTTGACAATGTCGATCGGCTGAGTTGGTTGCACCGGAGGAGTGAGTTGCATAGGTTGGGCCGTTTGCGCGGTCTGCGCCTCCGGATCGACCTGCAACTCTTGCTCCGGCGGTGGGCGTTGCTCGACCACGGTTCCGGTGTTTTGTTGCTCGACAGAGGACGATACCGACGTCGTTCTGGCCACGATGGCTTGCGGCTGTTTGGTGACGTGATGACTCGGTTGCAGGCTCGGCGAGTGCCTCTGCCCGGTTTGGTTCAGAGACGAGAGCGAAGTCGGCGCGATCGCGCACTTCTCCTCGGACTGTGTTACCAGTGTCGTCGTCACGGTGGACGCGATCTGCTGCTGTTGTTGCTGTTGCTGCTGCTGCTGCTGAGAAACTGACACGGGTACCACGGTCTTGATCAACGGTTGATTCGTCGAGGAAACTGCGGACGCTCCGACGACTGTGTGTACGACGGACTTGTGGACCAGGTGCGACTGTCCGTGAGCGACGATCACGGGGCTGGGCGTGGACGAACGTGGCACGTGGGTGGTCAAGAGCTGAAGGCTCGCCATCTCTTGCTTCTGCCTAGGCGACGGTAGATTGTTGTCGCCGGCTGTGATCGGGCCAGACAGTTGTTTCTGAGCTCTGGACGACAGGGAGGAGGCGCACGTTTCCCCGACGCTGGCCGATTTCCCGAATACCAGATTGGACGTCGTACCGCTGCCAGTGCTGGCGGCGTTGATCTCGATCTTGGCCGTTTCTGGGATGTAGGTGGGCGGCTGGTTGGGCGAAGGGACCTTGGGCGAGGTGGAAGCCTTGTTGGTCGATTCTGGTATAACGGCCGGCGACAATTTCGGCTCGTCCAAGCGTTGCGGCGGATCGTTCGGATTGGCCGGGAGCAACGTCTCGATGACCGACTTGCCGCCGCCCAGAGTCGAGTCCCGGCCGCTCTTGACTTGGACGCCACCAGGTGCCAACGGCGGCACAGGCATGTAAGGACGATGCGGAATGTTGAGCGTCAACGGCGGCAGGCCACCCCTCGGATGACTGGGCGCCAGAGCTCTCATGCCAGGCGCGTGCTGGATGACCGGCTGTTGACTGGCCGCCGTTGAATATATTTGTTGAGCAGGGCTTTCGGCCGACCTGTGACCAGCGACCACCGACGACGAGGAAACAGTGCTCGCGGCGGCGGCGGTGATCCTGGCTGCCGCGGTCGGCGTCGGCGTTGGCGTTGAAGGCGCCGGTGGCGACGGTTTGCCCACGTGAGTGCCGAGAGCCGAGTTTCGAGACCACTGCCCGTTCGGCGAAAGTGGCTGCAAGATTCTCGGCGACAGTTGCGAGGGCACCACCAACGGTGGCATCCTCGACGGAACCAACGGCGGTAACGGCGGCGGTGGTACCTGCTGAATGGTGGAAGCCGACGTGGAAACCGCGGAGACGTTTTGCAGTCTGGGAGATGTCTGTCTAGTGACTGGGACGGCCATCTGAGACTGCGGCGACGCTGGTAGTTTCTGATAGCAGAGAGGCGACTGCACACCGATGGAAGGCGTTGGCGTCGAGCTCGGTGTCGGTATCGATGTCGATGTCGATGTCGATGTCGATGTCGATGTCGGTGTCGGTGTCGATGTCGGTATCGGTGTGGCTGTTGGCGTTGGAGTGGACGGTGCTGACGTCGAAGGTGATGGCCTGGGACTGATCGCCGCTATTCTAGGCGTTTCGCTGGTGATTGGTACGCTACCCAATACCGGCTGCTTGTACTGCGGAGAGGGCGGCGACGAGCTGGTCGAGGCGCGACGCGCTTGCGGATTGTTGATTGTTCGATCCGGACTGGCCGCGCCGCACACGTCCGGAGCGATAGCCTCGTCGACGTTTTCGACGACCGTTTGTTGCACGGTTTTCAGCATCTCCCGCTTCAGATTCTCGTTCAAATTCCAAGAATGGGCGATGACAGAGGTCGGTGGTGCTGGTGGTGCTGGTGGTGAGTTAGCTGTTGACTTTGCAGGTACGGAGGATTTGCGCGCCTCGATCACCTTTTCGGTTACGCTGGTAACAACGGCGGTCGGTGTCTTGGTCGGTGATTTGTAAAACGATGGAATGTCCGGGGTTTTCGGTGGTTGGCTGAGATCGAAAGTCTCGTAATTCGGATCCTCCTCGGTGTCGGTGTCGATTTGCAGGTCGTGCTCGCTCTGAGGCGTGTCCGGTGGCTTGATGTCCGTCTCGCCGTCGCCGGTCGAGGCGTTCAAACTCTCCACCGCCTGCTGCATCTCCTCGACGTCCTCCTCCTCAGGCGCCTCGGCTGGCGCCCCGACCGCGTCCTCCGCCTCGGCATCCTCCTCCTCGCCCTCGTACGAAAAGTCGTCGGTCGAGCCTCCGAACGTTTCCTCGAGCAGGGCGGCCACTGCGTCTTCCGTCTCCTCTTGAGAAATCGCCACTCGCGGCTTGTCCTCGGTCTGAGCGGGTGGCGTCGTCGACGCGTTCACCTCTGGCTCGTCTCGACCGCTCTCGCGCTCCTCCGGCGGCTCCGAGATGCTCTTCACCGCGTTCTCGTGTATGGTCTCGTCGATCTCGATGCCAAAGCCGGGGATGAACTTGTTGCTGTCCTTTTTCTTCTTCTCAGGTTTCGATGCTGATTGAACGGTGGAGGAACTGTTCCCGACGCTGGTCGCCGCCACCATCACCGACGGAGGGGCGACCATCGTCGTCGTCGTCGTCGTCGTCGTCGTCGTCATCGACGACGACGACGACGACGACTGTGGCGGTGGTGGTGGCGGTACCGACGACGTCGTCATCGTCGTCATTGTCATGGTGGTGGTCGTTGTCGCCGCGTAGCTGCTGTTGTTGGACGACACCTTGGGAATGGGACTGAGCAGAGCATCCCTCGGCGTAGGTAGAGTGGGCGACATCGCCTTTGGTATCAACGGGCTACTGGCTCTCGGGGGGCTGGGATCTATCCCAAGATACGGCAACTCGTCGCCGCTCTTCTCGTGATGGTGATGATGATGGTGATGATGGTGGTGGTAATCCTTGCGACTTCGTTCCTCCTTCGACTTTTTCCTCTTCTTCTTCTTCTCCTTGACCTTCTCGGTGACGACGGCGGACGACGGCGTGGACGGTTCGACGCTGTCGTTGTCGTCGGTGAATCGAAACACGTCGTGGTCGTTGGTTGATGCCGTGGTGGTGGCGGTGTCGGTGCATGTGATGCCCGACTTGGGCGAGCTAGGCAGTCCCAACAACTTTGCTTCGATCTCCCGTCCCGCCTCGGCCAGATCCACGCTGTTCTCGTCCTCGGGTTGGTGACGACGCTTCTTCTCCGCTTTCCGCCTCACGCGCTCCACCACGTCCAACGCCGGGCTGCCGCGATCGCCGTCGCTGTCCGACGCGTAGGCGTTGTTGGCCAGTCGATCGAACAGCGCGTTGTTGGACGGAGCGACGTCGTCGACGTCGTCGGATAACGGGCCGAATATGTCCTCCATGCGTTGCGAGTCTCTCGCCTCCTGTCTGTTCAGCCTCTTCCTCCGTGCCTTTGCCTTCTCGTCCGCGTTCCTCTCCCTCCTCTTGTCCTTCTTCGTCCGTTGCTTCCTGTCCGACTTTATCCTCTCCTCGGTCGTCTCCAAGGAGGTTGCGGTGATGGCCGCGGACCCAGCGACGGCGACCAGCGTCGTCGACGAGTTGGTCGACTCGGGCGCGTGATTCGCCAGGCGACAATCGGTCGCCGCCGCTGCCGCAGCTGCCGTCGCCGCAACGCTCGACTTGCTGCTACTGCTGCTGCTCTTGTGCTCGATCGCGTCCGACGAGTCGGCCGCGGTGGCCGTCTTCGCCAGTGAATTGTCGTCGTTCGACGTCGAGGTTTTCTGTCGCTTCTGCTTCTTCTTGTGCGACTTTTTCCGCGACGAATCTCGCTCGTGATTGTTGATCACCATCGTCGCCGAATGATGACCACCGCCGCTGCTGCTGCTGCTACGATTGAACGGAACAACAACGGGGATTCGTTCGTCGTCGTCCGAGGTGCGCGGTTCGTCCTTTGCGCCCGCGTGAACGCTGTTGGCGACCATCAGATTCGTGGTCGATGCGATCGTCGTGGTGGTGACGACGGCGGGAGCAACGATGGCGGCGACAGTTGTGGTGACAGTGGTCGTTGAAGCGGCAGCAACGACGGCGGCGACTGTGGTGGTCGCGGTGATGGTGGTCGTAGTGGTGACCGAGGCCGTCGCTTCCAGAACGCTGTGCTTCTCCTCGGTGTCGGCAAAGGATCCGAGATCCACGTCGCTCTCCAGGAATCGCTCGGCAGCGGTGGTTTTCACCACCTTTCGAATCTTGTTGAACGACGAGGGCGGCTCCTCCTCCTCGCTGGTGTCCGAGTGAATTCGAGACCTGGAACTCTTTCGAGACAGCGACTTGGCCCTGGCCGAGTCCGACTCCGAAGTGGCCTCGTCCTCCGTCAGAGCTTTACTCGACACCGAGTCACCGTCCCACGAGGTGCTCTGCTTCTTCTCCTCCCGCCTGGCTCTGCTCTGCTTCAGCTGCGAGAACTTGTCCTTGAGACGCACCTGCCGCTTCTCCTCTTCGAGTTTCTGCATGTTCTTGGTCGAGCGCGCCTTCACTTTGTCGTACATGCTGATGTACGCGGGTTCGTCGTCGACAATGTCGAAGATGGAGTGTTTCTTAGGCTCGTCGCTGTCGGTGTCGGTGGCCGACGGATGCCTGTTGGCCACCTGGATGTCGGACGTCGACAACGGGCCGTCGTCAACGTCGCTGTGCAGGTTCGCGGAAGATTGCTGTTGCTGTTGCTGTTGATGATGGTGATGATGATGATGCTGTGGCTGCTGCTGCTGATGATGATGGTGGTGATGTTGCTGCTGCTGTTGTTGATGTTGTTGCGTTTCTCGCGAATGATTCGAACCGGTGGTCGCTGTCTGTACCTCGCTCGGCGAGTTGGAGTAATTGCGCTTCGAGTGATACAGCCTCGATAGGAACTCTTTGTCCGACTCGTGCGACGATACCCTTGGACTTCGCTCCCTCGACTCCTTCTCCGAGCGATTCCTCTTGCTTCGCTGTTTCTCCTTTCCACTCTCGCGACTGCTGGTGGTCTCTCGGTTCTCCCTGGTCGACGACTCTCTCGTCGAGCTTACCTCGACCGAGTGACCGCTACTACCACCACCACCACTCTGTTGTTCCCTGGTGTCTTGAACCTGCGTCGATCCAACGGCCACGCTACTGCTGCTCTCCTTCCCCTCGCGGCTCTCTCTGCTCTCGCGGCTGGATCTGTGCGAGTCGTTCCGGTGTTTACGATCCTCGGATCTTCGATTCTGTCTAGGCCGGTCTTTGCTGTCCCGTCTGTGATCGTTGATCTTCATGCGTTTCGCGTCGTCCTCGGTCGGGCCGTCCTGCGACGAGCATCGTCGCTTGATCGACACCGGCCCGGCTAAAACTTGATTCTGAGACGACTGGTGCAAATGGTTCTCGACGATCGGCTGCTGCTGCTGCTGCTGCTGCTGCTGTTGTTGTTGTTGTTGTTGCTGCTGCTGCTGCTGCTGCTGCTGCTGCTGCTGTTGCTGTTGTTGCCGTCTGCTCTCTTCACGATCTCTCTTCTCCTTCTCCTTCTCCTCTCTGTCACCCCTTCGTTTCTCCCGCTCGGACTTTTCCTTCTCCCGTCTTTCCTGATCCTCGCGTTCCCTTCTCTTTTCCCGATCGTGCTTCTCCCGTTCCAACCTCTCCCTCTCCTCCTTCTCGCGCTTCTCCTTCTCGGCTCGTTCTCGTTCCTCCTTCTCCTTCTCCTTCTCCTTCTCCTTTTCTTTTCGCCGTTCCTTCTCCAGCCGCTCCTTCTCCTCTCTCTCGCGCTTCCTCTCCCTCTCCAGCCGCTCCTTCTCTTCCCGTCTCCTCTCTCGTTCCAGCCTGTCGCGCTCCTCCTTCTCCCGCCTCTCTTGCTCCTCCTTCTCCTTCCTCAAACGTTCCTTCTCCTGCTTCTCGCGCTCCAGACGAATCTCCCGCTCCTTCCTCTCGCGATCCTCTCGCTCTCTTCTCTCTCGTTCGTCCCTCTCGCGCCGCTCCTGCCGCTCCTTCTCCTCCCTTTCTCTCTTCTCGCGTTCCAGTCGTTCCTTCTCCCTTCTCTCCCTCTCCCTCGCCTCGCTCTCCTCACGTTCCTTTCTCTCCCGCTCTCTCTCCTCCCTCTCGCGCCTCTCCTTTTCCTGACGTTCCTTGTCCAACCGCCTCTCCTCGTCCTTTTCTCGCCTCTCTTGCCTCTCGCGATCCTCCTTCTCCTTCCGTTCCTTCTCCTCCCTCTCCTTCCTCTCATAACGCATCTCCTTGCTGCTGCTGCTGCTGCTTGTCTCTCTTTCCCTCACAGCGTGGCCTCCTCCTCCTCCTCCTCCTCCTGCACCCTCGTTGTCGACGTCGTTCGGTATCTGTCGTTCTCCGCCGCTTCCGTCCTTCTCCTCACGGTCCTTGCGGCTCTTCTCAACGTCCACGACGACGTCCTCCTTTCGCGACTTTCTCTGACAATCCTTGCCGCTCTTACTGATGCCACTGCTGTACTTTGCTTCTCTACTGTCTTTCATCACGTCCTTCCTCGGCCGAGATCGGGAAGAGTCGATGGACGACGACGAGGAGGAAGATGACGAGGAAGACGACGATGACGATGACGAGGACGACGAGGACGACGACGACGACGAGGAGGACGAACAGGACGACGAAGACAAGGACAGTGACGCGGTGGTAACGAAGGTAGATGGCAAAGTGTTGGACGAAGAGATGATGGAAGACGGTAATATCGAGATGGCGGCGGCGGCGGCGGCGGCGGTGGACATGGAAGTTTGATACTGACCACTCGACGACGATGCGACGGTTGTCGCGGTCGTGACGGTGATTTGCGTGGTCGTGGCGATCGGCGTTGCGATCGAGGTCGTAGAAATTGTCGACAATGTCGTGGTCGTAGCCGTGGGTATCGCCAGTGTGGTTGCAGTCGTTGTCGTCGACAACGTCGTCGTCGTCGTCGTCGTCGTCGTTGAAACGAACGGCGACGCGGCGATGGCGGCGACCGCGGCAACTGGCATGGAAGAAACACCGACACTACCGATCGATCCTCTGGCGGTTGAGGCTCCGACAGCGTGAATGCTACTTATGCTACCGTTGTTGCTAAGAATACTACACGCTGAGGCTAAACCGCTACTATTGCCGCTACTAGTGGCTGCCGTTCCGCCACCAAGACCGATCGGTAGAGAGACCGGCGGTAATTCGGGGCTGACGGTCTTGATCGAGGTGCCGGGTGTGATCGGCGTGGTCGGCGTTGGATGAACGCAATTGTGCTGTTGTATCCCGGTCCGCGGATCCGGCGTCTTCAACGTTGATGACGAGATGCTCGTCGTGAACGTCAAGCCGGACGACAGGGACGCGATGCTGATGCTGCTGGTGCTGTTGCCGGTGCTGCTGCTGCCGCTGCTGCTGTTGGCCAACTGTACCGGTGGATGACTAGGAAACGGATACTGCAGACAAACTTTGCCGGTGCAGCCAGCACCGCCGCTGGACGCGAGACTGCTCGTGCCAGCGATCATCGAGCCGGTGACGCCGCCGCCGCTGATCACGCCGGTGAACTCTCTCGGCTCGTACTTCTCGCTAAAGTTCTCCAAACGCTTCGAATCCTCGTCGAACACGCTCCTCTTGGCGAGCACCGACTTGACGATGTCGCTGGGCTGCACCTCGTGCAGATCCAAGTCGAGCAACTTGTGCCGAAATCTGAATCTTTCGGACACAGTGGCGTCGAGCTTGGCCAGAGCGTCGCCGCCGGCGGCGCTCAACGCTCTCGATCCAGACCATTTCTCGTACTTTTCGTCGAGGGAGCGTATCCTTTCCTCGAGGCTGGGTGACTGCGGCGCCGTCTCGCTGTCGGAGCTAGTCGGGCTCGGGCTCGGGTGGCGAGGCGGTGGCGGCGGCGACGCCGGCGGCTGTACCGCCGTTCGCGGACTCGGCGCCGTTGACGACGAATTGGTACACGGTGGACTGGTCACTTTTGCCAAACTCGAATTGTTCGTCCGATTACTACTACTACTACTACCGCTACTAGTATTATTGCTGCTACCGGTATTGTTACTGTTACCGCTGTTAACGTTGCTGCTGCTGTTGTTGTTGTTATTATTATTATTATTGGTATTGTTATTATTGTTGTTGTTGTTGTTGTTGTTGTTGGTGTTATTGTTTAACATTTGGGCCGCGAACCTCGGTAACGGTAGCGAGAGAGGACCGTCGTGACTTCTCTCGCGAAATCGTCTCGGTTCGCTCGGCACCAAATTCTCCGGCCGCTCGTCCACCAACGGAGTTCCCGGCCGTGATCCGTCGTGATGTTCGTGATGCCTTCAACAAAAATTACGCGTTAAAAATTCGTACCTTTCGTTTTACGTAGCCAACCCAAAACTAATAACTCTAGCCGCCAATCGGTGTTGGTTCTTTTTTTTTTTTTTTTTTTTTTTTTTNTTTTTTTTGTTACCTGCTGGTGACGTCACGACGACGCTTGCACAATCCTGGTCCTCTCCCTTCGCAGCTCCCTCTTCTCGTGCCGTGGTGCACGACCACTTTGCTGTCGCTGACTCGTCGAATGTCCATGCCTTTTCTGCTCGAGTGAGAAGTAACCAGCAACGAGGCGATCTCTGGCTCGTCGTCCTCGCACAGTATGGCCGTGGTGGACGTTCCGTCGAGCTTCGCGCGTTTCTTCGGCACGAATCCGACCTCGTCCCCGCTGCTGTGACACTCCTCGAGCTGCTCCAACAGGTGTACCCGCTCTTTCTGCAGATGCCTGATGTCCGGAGGTGGTAGCAACGGGGGCGGCGGCGGCGCCGGTGGGTCCACGCTGGTCACCACGCTTTGGACCGCGTGGCGACGAGACGGCGGTGGACAGTCGTCGTCGTTGAGCTTGCTGTCGGCGAGCACGCTGCTCTGATAGTCGTCGTGGCTGGCCCCGCTACCCTGGCTGAACTCGTCGTAGCTGCGGAACCGGCGCGAGGCCGGCTCGCTGTAGTCCCCATCGTAATACGCCTCCTGATAGGAGCGCCTGCTGCTGCGGGACATGGCGGTCGGGTGAGCCGGACTGGCGCCCGGCGTGCTTCCGCCTCCAGATGCGCGGGAGTAACAACTGGCCGTTCTCGACCTCGGCGGCGTCTCGTATCGGGTGAATCGGCTGCTCGAGTTCGATACCGTCACCCCGGAGTCGAAGCTACTGCGCTCCCGTCTGAAAGAAATTCATCGAATAATAACTACCTCTGTACTATACATTTCTATTGCAATATACATCTGTACTATTGTATGCTGTTATACTATTATTATAAATTACACTATATATGCTATATACTATATATATATAGTGTAATTTATAATAATAGTATAACAGCATACAATAGTACAGATGTATATATATATATATATATGTAGTAGTATACTATATTATTATTATACTATATATATATAATATAATATAGTACAATATATATATATAGTATAATTTATAATATAGTGTACATACAGTGTAATTTATAATAATAGTATAACGGTAATATATATATATATATATACACTACCGTCTGTCAAGTATTGTGTTTTTAGTTTCTTTCAAAAATTTAATATTTCAAGTTACTGTCAAAGTAAACTTTTCCTACATTTATATTACACTATGTGTGTATATGTACACTACATCTGTCAAATATTATATATTTAGTATTATAAATGTTATTGTCAAAGTAATTTTTCATACTCAGGATAAGAGACGCGTCTCTCTGGTCGTGATTCTATAGTTGGGCCCAATAAACATAACGCATCCCTGGGCAGTACTGTTAGGCCCATAAAGCAATTGCAATAATTACTTTATGGGACTTATCTTTGCAAAGGGCAAACATTTCGGCTGAAAGTGACTTACCTTCCCAATCACGTGATAGGGAAAGACACCATGCGTCCTGGAAAGTACGCATAGTAGTAACACGATAGCACTAGTAAATGATTGAAGCTCAATATTCAATTTCTCGTTTCAATTATCGTTCTTCGTTATTGGCCAAGCGCAGTCTTTAATACCAAAGTAGTCGAAATGACCGATTTACTTCATTAGAAATTTTATAAAATGGTACGTTTTTAGAGGTTTAAATGATTCCCTCAAAAAATGTATAAATTGAAGCTCGTATATTCCATTGTATCGTGAGCCTTTAATGATTCTAATTGGAAATTTTACGCTTTAGTCGCCGGTAGTTTTAGTCGCGATTTTATCGCGATGACTTCGTGGTGACATCCTATCGTCCAAGTTTCAGCGAAAGGGTACTACTTGTGCTACACTAGATTTATTGTACGTATAATTGTACGTACGAGACGTCAAAAGTGGTGGCCGGGGAGGGCCTCGTGTCCCATGGCCTCTCGCCGGCAATGCCCTGCCGCTCGAGGTGTTCGTAAAACGTTTCCTGGCACTCCCTCGAGGCGAAGTCGACTTGTAGCCGGCGACCGCGGAGTGCCGCCCCTCTCATTTCCTTGACGGCGGCCTGCGCGCAGCTGATCTGCTCGAAGAAGACCAAAGCGTGTCCGCGCTCCCGATCCACCACCACTTGGTTTATCGGTCCGAACGGATGGAACTGCATGTTTAGGTATTTTTCCGACATACAATCTGAAACAAGAACAACGTGTCCCCGACGTTAACTCTCATCGGTGGTTTCTCCCTAGTCGACGATTGCTCTCGTGGCTTCCTCACGACAATTACCTCCGATCCCGTCGACCCATACGCAGGACGTGGGCATCGATTTCCCAAATCCGAGTTTTATTCGATTCGCGCCGAGGTGTTCGCCATCCATCGATCGCATGGCTTTGACCACGCTACCGATGTCCGAGTATTGACAGAAGGCATAGCTCGACACCGCGCCTTGTTTCTTGATGTCGATTTCCTGCAACGTTCACGTTCGTGATTACGCTTCGCGACAATATTATATTTCGACGAGATCACTCTCGTTTCTACTTTTGCACAGAATTTACATATACAGGGTGGTTTACATATACATATTGCCACATATTGCCATCTAGATTCACTGTTATTACGCGTAGCGTAAAAATGTTTCAGATGAAGATGAACGGTTTCGAAAGAGGACGCATTTTGATGATACTAGTTTCCTTGTAGGTGGACGTTGTAGAGGACGTATGAAGGTCATTAACGTTCTTTTAAATGGAATCATATATTTTTTATTGTATCGTATTCTTCACGAAAAAGTATTAATCTATTTATGTTAAAAAAAATTATTAGTTTAGGAGATATTTTAATTTTAATTTTGTAAAATCTATACGCGAAAGGCAAAGACAATATAAATATAAGAATACTAAATCCTTCTTCTTCCTAAAACTATCTTCCTAAAAATATCTCCTAAACTAATGATTTTTCAACATGAGTAGGTTGATACTTTTTTGTAAAGAATATCAAAGTACATCGACTGATGGAATAAAAAATATACGATTCCGTTTAAAAAAAACGTTAATGGCCTTCATACGTCCTCTACCTGCATCAAAATGTGCCGCTCTCGAAACCGTTCATTCAACCTCGTCTGAAACGCAATAATAATGACGTAAATCTAGATGATTTGCAATGAACCACCCCTGCATACATACACAGACAGATAGAAAGACGTGGAAGAAGAACCTACTATTATCTCGCCGAAAGGTTCGAAATGCTTCCTGAGCTCGGACGCGGTGACGTCCTTCTCGAGGTTGCCGATAAAGAGCGTCCGCGTTGCCTTCGGATGGTACTCGTCGACTTCGGCCTCGTACGGCCTGAACTCGTTGTCCTCGACATCGTAGCCCTGGTGAGGTGCCACCTCGATCTTGCATCCGAAAAACAGCTTGTCGTGCGACACCTCGAGCGCCTTCTCCACGTCCTCGGGCTTCTTGAAGCAGACCAGGGCGTAGCGATCGCCGG